CTCGGACCCGGCCGGGTCGGCGCTGGGCCTGGCGCTGTTCGACCCAAACCTGGACGGTATGGAGTGGCTGGACGGCCCCTCCACCCCGGGGCCCGCCGGGTTCCCTGCCGAGTTCCTGGAGCCGCACGACATGCAGCTGCACTTCGACTGACCCGACCAGAACCGCCGACCCAAACGGGCTTCTGATTCCTGAAGTCAGGATTCCACTGGAACCGAATGAAGTCGAGGAGGAAGGTTACTGTAAATACGGTTTGGACCCGGACGGAGCCACCAGGTTCTTCTGGGTTCTGCTGACCCAGTCCGGTTCAGTTTGGTCCCATCAGAACCGCCCGTCTCGTCCGTCTGGATCAGAACTATGCACTAAAGAGGAGCCGCTTCCCCTCAGAACAAACCAATGTGAACACGGCATATCGGCCGCCGCCTGGTTGCCATGGAGACACAGCGGTCCGCTCTCCAACTGAATGTAGTTCTAAAGACGCCGACCCGAAAACGGCATCCTCCTGATGAGAACCAGAGACTGAGAAGGTTCTGGTGCTGCAGGTTCTGGTGACCCGGTTAACTTAATTGCGAGACGACCAATAGAAAGTCAAAGCTACGGTGGCCTGTAAGGTGATTTCCTGCCAAAGTATTCACACCCCTGCAGCTGCAGTCGGTTCCTCTGGGATCAAAGTTCTAGATGTAAAAGTTTTCCAGATCAGACCTGATCCAGAGCTCAGAGGCATGATGCTGCCACCGCCGTGTCGCCACATGAATGAGGTCTGAACTCGGATCATTACAGCACATCAAAGGTTTCTGAATCTTTTTCTCTCAACTTTAAACTATTTTTATTTTTCTTGTGGAAAAATAAAATAATTATGAGGGAAGCATAAAAAACAAACTACATGATCAGTTGTTTTTCTATCAAGCATTTCTGTAAATATTTTACAATCTAAAGCAAAATAATTTTTTTTGTTCTTAAATGTGAAGGAAAAACATTTTTTTATCCTGATCCAACAGGAAAATCCTGAAGAATCTTCATTTAATTCAAACAGCAACAAGCAGTTCAACGTGTTTTATATGAATTAGAGGAAATAGAAAATAAAACAACAAACCAAAAGAAAGACAAAAAGATAAAAGTATAAAACTGCATTTTTTCCCCGTATTTAATAAGAATAAGTCCATAATTTGTAGACTAATCTTGTTCTGATAAAACTAAATGTTGGTCTAAAGTAATAATTACTCCACTGTTTCTAAAAGTAATGAACTAAACAGACAAACGACAGGAAAACCATTCAGACACGAGGCAGCGACAGGCAGAGGTCAGAGTTCATCTGTGGTTGGCCAGAAGGACGACACGGCGGCATGAAGCTCCAGACGAGGGTTTCACAAACCACCCAGGAACACGGGGACCCAGTTCAGACTCGGATGGAAAGCTGCCCAGCCGGACCGAAACCGGCAACTTCTCCAAGATGGAGTCCATCCAACCCGTCGGTCTGAGCGCCGGCCGGAGTCGGCCTGCTCCAAACGGCTGGAAGCCTGTTATCATGAGTCCATCCAGGTTTGATCCTGCAGGACAAATTGATCAGACCAGCTGACCAGATCCATAATCTGTAGATCCTGAGGATGTGGAAAGAGAAGCTCCAAAAAGCAGCACAGACAGGAAGCAGAGGGGAGACGACTCGTTTCCACTCTGTTGGTTTTTAGTCGAATGCTTGATGGAAAAATAACAGGAAACTTTGCACATGATGTTTTTATGCTACTCTTTAGGAAAATTCAAATGTTCCACCAGCTAAAAAAACTAAGCTTGACATTTTTAATCTGTTGCTAAGAAATTTATTAGAAAACATATCAACTAATTTTATCGTTTTAGCAAACAAATGATCCTGTGAACAAACTACTGTAGTTAGTGGTTGTACTGTGACAGCTGAAGTAGTTTGAATACTTTTGCGTGTGTGTGTGTGTGTGTGTGTGTGTGTGTGTGTGTGTGTGTGTGTGTGTGTGTGTGTGTGTGACAGAGAAGCATGTTACTGTTAGGAGCAGCCATGTTCCTCTGCATGTCGTCTCTCTGCATGTTTTGGGTCCAGCTAACAGAACCACCGGGTTGCCATGTTGCGTCACCGGGTTGCCATGTTGGGTCAGCCACTCCATGTTTCCATTTCCTCACCTGAATGTTGAGCTGCAGGTAAATTTCCTGATTGTTGCGGTTTTTCCTGCAGTTCTGTAGACAAACACTAGAGGGCAACCGTCTGCTCTAACCTGATTGGTCGGTTTCCTGCTCTTCATCACCTTGCTGTGGTTTTATTCCAAACTCATCGAGCAGCTGTTTTCTTCTTTCTCTCCTCTGATTTGTTGGATGACTCTGAGGACTTCCTGTTTATCTTTCTGCTGTTTACTTCAGGGTGTCCAAAGTGCGGCTCGGGGGCCTACTGACCTCTGACCTTTAGTCCAGATTTTAAACCAATTTAAAACAAAGTTTCAAAAACACACAGACAATATAAGATATTAAAATGGAAAAAGTGCAACACAAGTTTTTGCTTTAAATCTAATTTGTACAATCACTGTCACTAAATTGTAGACTTTTCAAAATAAAGCAAGAGTGAGCCATAAAGACAAAAAATGTAGAAAAACAAGATCAACCTGAAAAAATTTGGATACGATTTTTTTCTTAATCTGGCAAACTGCAAAAACTTTTTATGTTTTAAATCTACAATAATTTGTCACTTGCTTGAAATATGTCATGTTCAGATTCAGGCAAAAACAAAAACATGAAAGAGTTTTTGTTTAAACACTAAAAGGTTTGTGACACCTGGAGACATTTTTGGCCCCCGCGCCATAAGTTTGGACACCCAGTTGACTTCCTGTGGACCAGGCGATCCGCAGCAGGCGAGGACGACTCAAAGCAATAACAGCTGCTCTGTCACTTCCTGCCTCCTTCTGAGGCAGAAATGCAGTTTCACATCTGAGCGGATCAGCTGATGTCGGCCATCTTGACCTCCACTGCCCCATGCCACGCCTCCTGTTGGAATGCCATACGTTTTGCACATTGTGTACATATTTCTATAGATGTAATGCATATTTTTATACATGTGTACCATCCATGGGCTCGTTATTTTGTAAATACTCTAAGAGAGATGTGTATATATGAGTACAGTATGCTTTTATGTGCTAATAAAAGTGAGTGTACTGTGAGTGTGTTTATGATTCTGATCCCAGGTTGAAGTTTCATCCGTTTCGGTTTGAGGTGAAAGTAAAACACCGTTTTGGTAACGATCATTTTCCAACATGGAAAACAGAAATCAGCTCCACAAACATGGTGGAGTTTAGAGCTCAGTCCATGATGCTCCCAGTTTAACCTGTCTGACCAGTATAAACCCAGTATAAACCCAGTTTCCCTTTGTCCAAGTCATCCTGGTGTTTTTGACTGGGAGAAATGGACCCGACTGGTTCTGTTCAGCACCACCATGTCAGTAAAGGTTAGAAACACAAACATCACTGCGTAAAGAAACAAGTTATATATACATATTTTAAAGTAAATAAATCATTTAGCATTTTTTTTCTTTTGCAATTTAAGAAATTTTCTTGCTTTTAGTAATCTGCTCGAGTAAATCTGAAATTATGGAAGCAGGTTTGACATGGTGGTGGCAGCATCATTCTGTGGGAAGATGGGTGAAATATGTATGAATAAAATTAATGTACGTCATAAATGTATCTATGAATAATTAATGACTAATCATGCTAGCTTGGTGCTCTTGGGGGCCCCCTAGTGGTGTGGAGGCCCTTCCATTGCCCTGCTGTCTGACTCAGGAAATGTTTACTCATCATCTCTACATTAAAATGAAACCACAGTTTAATATCTGTGAAATAGAAGTAAACAGAAACCCAGCCTGATCTGCAGGGGAGTAAATCCTCAGATTGGTTTGAAACTCGAGCCGCTCTTCTCTCCGGTGTTTTGTTCACAGAGCTTTAGCTTCATTTGACTCTCCACAGCTTTTCTAATGTCTGACCACAACATTTAAATCTGACTGAGTGCTGCTGGCCCTGAAACCACTGCGACGTCCTGATTCCCAGTTTCCACGCAGTCAGACAGATCCGGTCCCAAGGTTCGGTTCTTTTCCCGTCTGGTCCATTTGTGGGTTATGATTAGGCCGTTTGAAAAGTTATACAGTCAAAAATTAACACCAATAATTAGTTCTGTCTGTACTGAAATAATAATGGTTCATTATTCAGCCATAGTTTCGATGATAAATATTTAGCTCGAAGCTAAATGTGTAGCTAGTTCTGATGTAGCTAATTAGCTAAAACAAATAATTTCCGATGCTGATAAAGCATTCATGTTAATAAATGTTTATATTTGCTTTGAAACGATTCAAACTTTGTTTTAGGTCAGATAAACTATTATAAAAAGGTAACATGAAGTATTTAGTTTCAAATTAAATGTTTAGTTTGGAACTAAACTTTAGAGGTAAATATCTGGAGTGTAAACTGAGAATTGTGCTTTAATTTGTTGGAAGCTAAATATTTAACTTGCTAAATCAATATTTAGCTTGTTAACTAAATATTTAATTTGAATCTCAATATTAATTTTGGAGCTGAATGTCTAGTGTGAAAACTAATGACTTTAAAAGTAAATATTTAGTTTGAAGCTAAATATTTTGTTGATGAACTTATTTAGCTTCAAACTAAATTTGCCACCAAATAGTAAATAAATCTTTAGCAACTGACCTTTATAAATGAACGAGTAACTTGGTGAAGATATAGCCTTGAATAATACATTCATTTTTTCTCTTATTTTTTCTAAATGACCCAAATTAATGCAGTTAATTTTTGAAACTTTATGACCAGAAAACGTTCAGAGCAGCTGAACTCTGCCGTCTGGTCGCAGCTCCATGTTTCCTTCGGCCGTTTCTGAAAGCAGAAAGTTTCTGTTTCCTCTCATCCTGCTTTGCATTCCTGCTGCACTCATCCAACACACACTCACACACACACGCACTAATACTCACACGGTGTGTTGTAGCGAGAGCTGCAGGATCTGAGGGGATTTTAATATAAATGAAAAGCTTCTTTTTTCCACTCTGAAACATGACATGATCCATTAACCAGACAGTGACCTGCATCACCACCAGCAGCTCTGATGCCCAGTAAATGAAGCTGTTTGCTGTATTTAGTCAGTAAGTAAAGCATTCGGCTCCAACAGGCAGCAAACTGAGTAGAAACTGCAGTAAATGTTGCGTAATGTGGACGTTCCACCGCCACATTTGCCTGGGAGATGAAATGATGAGATATGACGGCCGGTCGTTTCCTGCAGGTGTCCAAACAGAGGCTCCACTCAAACTGTCAGAGGAAATATTTACAGCTGGACCCGGTCCAATCGGGCCGGACCAACACAGCGCCTCGCAGAAACTATTCACCCCGTTTACTCACATCTCAGCCTGCAGCGTTTGTCCTCCGAGCGACCAACACAAAGTAGAGCTCACTGAAGAGTGAAACCAAACGGAAGCAGTTTGCATTTGGATTTGTCTCTCAGTGTGAAGTACAGCAGCGGCTGCATCAGGCTGTGGGGATGCACCTGGTTTTATCCCATCTGACTGAGATTTGGCTGTTTTCCAAAGAACCGCAGCAAAAAGAAGGTGAAAGATGATGAAAACACAAATGCACACCACACTATTCAGATTTCCATTGGGGGGAAGGAGAATAGTGTGTGAACAGTGATGTGAACAGTTCCTGATGTGAACAGTTCCTGATGTGAACAGTTCCTGATGTGAACAGTTCCTGATGTGAACAGTTCCTGGTGTGAACAGTTCCTGGTGTGAACAGTTCCTGATGTGAACAGTTCCTGGTGTGAACAGTTCCTGGTGTGAACAGTTCCTGATGTGAACGGTTCCTGGTGTGAACAGTTCCTGGTCAGAGCAGCTTGTAGGTGTGGATCTGGTGGCGGCACCGAGGGCAGATGTGATGAACGTTCCTGAGTCGCTTCATGCGGAACGGAAGGAGACAACAACCAGCCAAACAGCTGGAGGACAACAGGTTCATATTATTATATTTATTATCTTTATTCACAGCAATATTTAGTATTAATACTCATTCTCAATATTTAATGTTATACACATTATATATTGTATTAAACATAATTATTTTCTTCAGTATTTAATATAGATAATATTTAATACAATAATATTTATTTTCAAAAATGTAGAACTATTCACATTAATATATAAAAAGGTCAATTTCAATCAAAATTATATTAAATAAAATAATTATTTTAAAAAATATATTAATTCACATTAATATTTACTCCATTATTATTCACAGTATGTAATTATTAACAGCAGTAATTAATATGGAAATTATTAATAGTAATATAATAAAAGTGATATTATTATTCACTAATCATCATTCATAATATTAGCATATTTGTTAGTTACAGTCATATTTAATATAATTAGATATTAACAGTAAAATAATTATTCAACATCATATTAAACATGAGGTAGCAGCTCCATCTAATAGTGATTATTTACAGTAATAACTGATCATAACTCACCCCATCATGGAGCACAGGAAGCACAGCAGCCACATGCTTTCGCTCACCGTGCTGTGGGTTTCCGTGACGACCAGCTCGCCACATGATGGACACTTGGTGAGTCCAGCCGTCATTCCCAGCCGCTCCGCTTCCCGCCAAAATAAAAGCATCAGACAGAGAAACATTGGAAAATAATTAGATTATTTACAGTTACATTTATATTTAGTAACATTTAAACTTTGGATGAGCAGCTGGTCAACAAGTAAACAATTTCTGCTTGAGATCAATAATTATTTCCATCTGTTGGCTCCAGGTATCCCAGGTATCCCAGGTGTTCCAGGTATCCCAGGTGTTCCAGGTATCCCAGGTGTTCCAGGTATTCCAGGTGTTCCTCACCTGGCAGGACGTCGTCCGTCGCTCCGTCTGCAGCGGCTCCCTCTCTGCCCGGCGGCGGCGGCAGCATGTAGATTCCTCCGCGCGGCGTCTCCTTGTAGGACGGCCGCTGTGCCGTGCAACCTGAAGAGGTCAGAGGTCAGAGGTGAGCTGTGTGAGTTGTAGTGCGGCCAGCAGGGGGCGGTAGAGGAAACGTGCCTCCGTCGGCGCTGGCCGTGAAGGTGACCCCGCCTCGCTCCAGCTCCTCCTTCCTGGCCTGCAGCTCCTCCAGCTCCTTCTGCACGGCCTGCAGCTCGTCATCCTCATCTTCATCCTCACTGATCACTGGCAGCAGAAAGGTCACAGCAAGGTCACAGCAAGGTCAGCCTCACACAGGCAACGTCTGGCTTCAACAAGCACAATGTAAGCAGAGGCAGAGCCGGCCAGAGGGATAAGCAAACACAGCTGCTGCATTAGGCCTCCAGGCCAGCAGGGGGCTCCACACAGCCTGGGCTAAAGACGGACCACCAGGTCTACATCTGGTTCTGTCTGGTTCTGTTTGGTTCTGTTTGGTTCTGTGTGGTTCTGTTTGGTTCTGTTTGGTTCTGTGTGGTTCTGTTTGGTTCTGT